AGTTCATATGTTTCAAGAATCATGGATCCCAAAATGACTGTGTGCAGTCATTTTGCAGATGTATGCAGCTTATAAGAAATGGAGCCTCCTTTGAGAAATGTATTGCTGTCAAGCACTGAAGTTTAATAGCCATTTTATGCTTCTATTCACTGACTAATTCTTGACCTCTTACCCAATTATCAAGCTAGATTCCCAACATTGTCCTCAAAGTTGCCTACCATAATGGAATATTTCCCCTGAATATATAAACTACTAGAATATTCCTTCATTCTTTATATCACATGTTGCAACTGACTGTTAAAGACAGTAATCACCAAACAATCTTTTTATATTCCCTTTTAGGACAGAAAGCCTGGTACACCATGGACATGGTGGAGACAGAATGACATGCTTCTTCCCCTAGAACAGGAACAATGGATGTAGGCCTTCAAGAGTGTCAATGGCAGCTATGAGAATAAAGTTTGTTTGCAAACTAATGTACGTAATATTTTGCATTCCTCCTTTAAGGAATGTGCTCACTATCAACGTTAATGACTCCAGGTGGATCAGAGACGGTACAAGTCCTAGAGGCAAAGGTGTGGCTAATGTCTCAGCAAAATGGTAAACACTGCAAACTTCAGGATAGCCCTTAAAGCTCTGGAAAAGACCTGTAAAAACATGGGTTCAAAAATTTTTTTCTCAATACATAATGATGTAATATAAATTATGCGGAACTTCAGGAATATAAAGGAACAAAAGGAAGTGTGTTGTAAGTCAACTTCTCAGAAACATACTAAGGAAGGAGACAAAGGGATGTGTGGAGCTTTTCTGGGCCCAGGTGCTGTGGGAGACTCTGGTTACCATGCAGACATGGCCAAGTCCAAGAATCAGACCACACAAAACCAGTCCTACAAATGGCACAGAAATGGCATCAAGAAACCCCGGTCACAAAGATACCAATTTCTTGAGGGAGCTGACCTCAAGTTCCTGAGGAACATGTGCTCTGCCAAGAAGCACAACAAAAAAGACCTGAGGAAGATGCACCCAACAATGCAAAGGCAGTGAGTGCCCATGCAGAGGCCATCAAGGCCCTTGTGAAGCCTCAGGCCATCAAGCCCAAGATGCCAAAAGGTCCCACCTACAAACTCAGCCATCTGGCTCTCATTGCTCACCCCAAGCTTGGGAAGTGGATTTGAAGCTATATGGCCAAGGGGCATAGACTCTGCCAACCAAAGCCCAAGCTTCAAACAAAGGTAGAAGCCAAAGCTCCACCAAAGGCTCAGGTTTCTGATCCAGCCCAGGGTCCCAAAGATGCTGATGTCCCTGTGAAGGGCCCATAGAAAAGGCTCCTGCCAACCTGAAGACAGATGGACTGCTCTGACACACCTACCCACACACTATTTGCAGATGACTGGTGTCCTATTCTGTTACAAATAAACTTGAGGCAAGATCTGTTAATAAAAAAAGAGAGATGTGGGGAGTGGTGTTCAAAGGAGAACCCACTCAACTAATGGTGTTGTTGTTGTTGTTGTTCATGCTTAGAAAGGCTGACAGATTACTGATTTCAGGATCAGCCTGAGACAGAGCAACTTTAGGCCCAGGTGTGGTAGAAATGGTAATTTCAGGACTGGGTCCCACCCAGTCAGCTTAGCATTTGTGTTCAACAGAGGCAGGCAGATAACAGAATGCTTTTGTAAAGTTAAAAGAAAAGGTGTGCTTGCTGGCTCCTAAGAATTAAGGGCCTGTGGGCAGGGGAGGCTAATCAAAAGGAGTAAATGACTGGGTTCAGTGGGAAAATAACATTGCTTTTATGATATGCAAAAGAGGAGCTATCAAGTGAATTTTTAAGAATGGCAAGAGAGAACTGCTTGGTGAACAGGCTCTAGCAGAACATAGACAGAGAGCTGTCTCGAGCTCTCCAGAGAAAATAGATAAGAGAGAAAGCAGAAAATAGGGAAAGCTGCCTGGAACACTGTCTCCACAGAGCATAGATGGATAGCTTGAACTGACAATGTGACTGCCAGTCCTTTGTTTTTCTGCCCCCAAATACATCTTCTTTCTCTTCCCCCCTCCAAGTCCAGGCGTGGTCCTTGGCAACAGAGCTATACTGTGATATCACTAATTTTTAAATCTAGATGTCAGGACTTACAGAAAATGTCTCATTTATGTAACCATCCAAGTCAATGCCAGGTACCAGCTTATAATCAACTATTTGATAGAAGTGTGGCTAGTGACCTGCCATTGGAGTGCTAGGAAACGAAAAGGGATTGAACAGTGCTCTTGACAACTGAGTGATCCCTGTAGCCCTCTCACACACTTTCAATAAAATAAAAGAGAATACTAGACATAACAGACTTGAGATACAAAGACCAGCTTTGAGAAAAGCTGCAGAAGACAGTGGAGTTTCTGGAAACTGTGTGTGCTTCAGGTGACAGAGCAGGAAGAGTGGGAATACCTAAGACCTTGTGGTTAAGGCAATTTCATCATAATCTCAAGTTGCTGAACAAGAAGCTATAAGTTGTGATATTATCCCTGTTGAATTTTGTCCTCGTTTGGTCTCTTCATTCTTTTATATATGAGCTCTCAGCTGTCCCTTGATTTTCAGCTAAGATCTTGTAATACAAGATGAACTTTCCATATGCATTTCTGTCCACCATTTTTACTATTTACATATATTTCTGGATGACTTTGAGGTAAGATTGCCCTTAAATATCTCAGCTTTTACATTTGATCATGTTCAGAAAAGGATTTAACTTATCATTCATAGGAGTAGGCAAACCTATGTGTAAATGTATCTAGAATACCTAAGTAAAATCTCACTGCTCCCTTTCTTGAAGAAAGACATTGCTTTGGAAATGGCTCCTATGCTCTCATTACCTGATACAGGAAAAAAATCTTTCCCAGCTGTTCTGTGTTGTCTGCTGTGCTAGCTATTCTTGGTGCTCAAATGGAGCACATCAGGAATTAAATAAAAGTCAAAGAGTTGGGTACTGTGCAGGATTTTTCGTAATTAAAGTTTTCGAACCGGGGAAATTATTTTTAACTTGGGTCACTTGGGGTGATAAGATCCACCTTTCACCTAGGCCACTCTTCATGGTGACAGTGTACCTATATAAAGGACATTGAAGATGGTAGCTGTAAGGAGAAGGCCCTTAAACAGGACCAACTCCATTTTGTAATAGGAAACTTGTAAGACATGTCTGGACATGTCTGGTACTTGTAAAGGCAAGTCTGGAAATGAAGCTGTGCTGAGATAACCAGACACGAGTGGTTATCTGCCATGTACGTCATCAGTAACTCCAAATTCAGCATAAAATAGGAGCCCGTCCAAAGCACTTCGTTCACACTTGTAGCTATGACTGGCCAATGTGATCCTCCAGACAAAGCCTCCTCAGCACCCGGTCATCAAAGAGTTAACTGAGAGACCTAGGCCTCCAACTTCATGGCCAAGGGACTTCAAACCCAGAGACCAATGCCTCCAGCTTTGTGGTCAAGCACCCTACGAGTTCAAATTATCTGGAAGCCACAGCCTGACCCCACCTTCCTGGACTCCGGACCTGTAACCCAAAACCAACATTAAGGACTCAGGTCGTATAATCCATGAATGAATGATGTGTCTATTGCTATGCTTAGTTTTTTGATAATTAGCAACTTATTAGCAACTTATTATTTGTGTTAATTGTGCATATTGTTACAGGCAACCTATAGGAAATGTGACAATATCTTGTTATAGCAATAGCCTTAGCATGTGTGTTTGTGTTTGCTTGCTGTGCATTACCATTAAAGAAGTAACTGAATTCCACAAACTCTCTGTCTCTTGGGTACTCTCTTCCCTCTCGAGGAGCTGATGATCTCACAGTCAAATCCAGTATAGGATCCCTGAGTGGAGCAGGACCTGTCGCTCCTCTCCCCGCAGGGGATTCAAACCCCTTGCTCATAATAGATAAAAGTCACTGCTCGAGACAGTAGCTCTTTCTCTTTGTCTTATTCCCTACTTCTGGTTAGCAATTTTTTGTTGTTGTCATTGTTTATTTGTTTTATTTTCTGGCAATAGCGCTTATCTTACAAAATTAGGGTGTATATTGAAGACCAGCTCAGACATCCGGCCACATGGACTGAACCACTATTGGATTCTTAATCTTTCCATTTGTAGACAGCCATTGTTAGAATAGTTGAACCGCAGCCTGTGAGCCATCTAATAAATGCATTTTACATAATTGAGACTAATTCTATCAGCTCTGTTCATCTGGAGAAACTTTACTGTATATAATATAGCTGCGGATTTGTTGTTGTTGTTGTTGCTATTTTCATTTTACAGACTCACTGAGGAGTTTCAGCTGATTAAGAAGAGTGCTCCAACGTGTCTGTCATATATTTCCTGCTTTGCTCTGAGGTTCGTCTCATACAGATCAGGTGAAAAGTACTTGCAGTTTACCAGAACCCAGCCTGAAAGGGAAAAAAAAATGAAAGAAAGAAATGAAAAAAAAAAGTTTTCTAAAATCGTTCTTAATTTTTCATATTGTGGGCACCTGTCCACTTGTGGGAGAGATAAGTAACTCCATTGTATCTTTACAATTTTTATAGACTTATTACAAGATTTATAGACTGTGAGAGCCATCCATTGTGAATCCAGCAGGATGAGGAGGAAGGACCTCCTGAGTGCTGTGATGGGAGTTCAGGAAAGCTCCACATTTGCAAAGCAATGAACAAGGTGTCACTGCCCACATGGGAAGAAGCAGGCAGTTGAGAAGCAGGGATGTGAAATCTTACTTTCTCCCAGGAGCTGGATGGGAGGACAAATAAGCTATTGGAGGAGAGGCACTTGTGCTTCTGAACTTCAAATCTACAGATCTGGAAAATTATTGGGCAAAGCTGGAACCACTATACTGTGTCTCTTTAAGACACTCTAACCCTAAGAGTAGTGATTATGTCACTCAAGTCTCGCTAGCCAATCAGAACCTCCACATGGACCGCAAGTCCGAAGACGAGGCGGCACTTCCGGGTAACAAGCTTGCAGGTTTCTTCCTGTAACTCAGCCGGCATGAGTGTTTCTGGGTGAAACATTCTGAGTGTGTCTGCTGGGTGCTGTGAGAGGAGCTCGGCAAGCTCAGAACTCCAGACATGGTGAGTGCAAGGTTGTCTCCCACGAACGGCAGGCGGAAGCTGCTTAGCAAAGTACAAATGTGTAGTGGATCTTCTCAGTGTCTGGATGGTAAACAGCAGCCGGACACATGCAGCCTCTTGTGAGGTCCTTTATACCCGGCTTTGTACCTGGCTGTGGCCTCTGAATGACTTTATTATGGGAGCATCTGCACAAAACCATTGCAGCAGTGGCTTGTGTGTAGAAATATATTTGGCATGATGCCAAACCTTAGAGCCCTGGTTTCTTTATTCTCTAAGTTCTGCTCTTAGCTGTTAACTTGTAGGTGTAAGTTCCACTTGGAGTTGGTGTTGTGAAGGCTGTAAAAAGAAATCTCGTGTGTTGGGTATCACTCCAGTATTCAGCTGTGATGTACAAGTGCAGAATTAATGATATAAAGAATTACTAACATTTAGGAAATATTAAATGACACTAAGAATTTATCTGAGGAGGCACTGCCTATAAAACACCTGACAAGTATGTAATATGCTAAAACTGCAATCCTGTTAAAAATCAGTACTGTAATATACATGTTTGCTTACCAGAATTGTCCAGACATTTGTCTCCAAGCCTTAACTAAGGGGACAAATCTGATTTACAGTCAGTCATTAGGCTCATGCTGATATCAAAGAACAGGCCCCTAACAAGCTGCTCAATGCTGCATTACAGGGTCACAGCCAACATTAAGGCCTGATGTGACCTAAAGATCCAGTTTTCTTGGGAAAAGCATAGTTTTGGCACAAGGGCAGGACCTCCTGACATCTCTTTGAGAAGGACAACACTGTATGATCTTGGCTGCTCTAATCAAATAAGGCTTGATCCTAATGTGTGGAGAATTGCGTATCTCTTTTCTAAATTCTAGCCCCTTAACAGCCTGGAGCCTTGAGCTTTACCTAAGGCCCTGGTGTACTGAATAGAAAACAGTTGCTCTTTCTCCTAAGCCAGGGTTAGGGTCAGGTGGTAAAGCTTCCAGGCCAGGGTGTTTGGGGAGGACAAGCTTCAGATCCTGAGATTCCAACTCTTTCCAGCATAGGGTGACATGGTTATCAGTCCCAAGTCAACTGTGGGCTTGGTCAGTCATGGATTCCCTTGTGCAGCATTGTTTTATTACACTTCTCCTGAATTTGTCCCAGTGTATGATAGTTACTGATGTCTTCATAGTAGTCTCCATTTCATTCACTTTATCCCCTGTAAGTAGTATACAAGATGTTAGTTTTAAGAAGCTTACTTAACATAGACATAGCTTGTGCAAGTACTCCCCACCACAGCTGTTGTACATTCTACCTTCTACGTTTCCTGTCTTTCTCATCTTCACTTCCAACTCAGGAACCCATCACTGAAAACTGACCTGCTGTTTCAGGTCTCTGATGTACTTAATCAATGATTCTGGGGATCTTTGCTGTGTAAATCTCACAGCTGTCTTAAGTAGGACTTACAATCTCTAGTCCATATTTAAATTGTTCAAAATAACCTGGGGCCTGAACTAGAAACAAACTTATTGATGTCAATATCCAAAACCTGTTTTTGGTTGGCTCCTCTTTGAGCATTAGTCAGAGCTGCATCCATGCTGTCATTTAGGAGATTTTTTTCCTTGTTAATGTTTTAATGTTGTATGTGGAGTGGTTTCTTTCTGAGATGATATAGTAATTCTGTGAGAGCTGCATCTTCTTCCTTTTATAGAGAAGTTTCTAAGACAAGCTCTGTTGACTGAGGTAGCCTTGTCCTGGTCTGTTGCTCCCCAGATCAATGACCTTGGTCTCCTCTTTATAAAAATTCCTAAGTTCTTGAGTTAAAGTAATGAAGCAAAGGTGAGTTTTATAATTGCTCATTTGAGTCATATAATGAACTGCCTATTTCTTCTACCTTCAGATGAGAACAGGAGGAATGGTTTACTCTGTTCACTGTCAGGTGAAAGAGGGCAGGAAATAGCTAGATCACAGACCAAAGTATAAGGGAGTCCACTGCAGGTGTCACCATTCTGGAAAAGGACCTGATTCAGGCAGGGTGAACAATTTTGTAATTTCATAGCATGTACTAAATAATGCATGTGGTTAAATAAAACTACATTGGTGAATTTTTAATTTGAGGAAGCTGGCTTGAGGCAGTGGAGAATGAATTCCCATTTTAGGACATGTATTATTTAGTTATCTGGTATCCTTGTTGATATATTTAAATGAGCTTAGAAATGTAAAACACATGCCTTTAGCTGTAGCTCGGTGTGTCACATTATAGATCTCAGTAGGTAACATAGCACATGGGGAAATGTCAAACACTATCTCTTGATCAAACACTATATAGCCTTGCTCCCTGTGTGTTGCTCCTCAGGGCAGTGACTTTGCTTTTTGCTTGATGAAAATTTACAAATTCTTCAATTAAAAGAATGTACCACAACAACAGTTTAAATTTCCTCATTTGAATCATATAATAATGAACTTTCCTTTCTTCCATTTTCAGATGAGAACAGGAGGAATGGTTTACTTTATTTACTGTCAGGTGAAACAGGGCAGCCAATAGCTAGATCACAGACTATGAGAGTCAGCTGCAGGTGTCAGTATTCTGGAGTAGGACCTGATTCAGGTCAGGTGAATAATTTTATAATTTCACAGTGTATATTTAATATTACATATTGTTAGATTTTGGTGCACAGCTTAGAACATACAACACCAGACCAAACTGTTGCGGGGGGCGGGGGGAGTGTTATGTAGGAGATAGGGCAAAGGTGTGGGGAGAGAAATGGGAAAAGATGGTGGAGAAAGAGAGAGAGAGGAGAGAAGTGGAGGCCTGCCTTGACCACGTGGAGAGAGAGGGAAGGGAAGGGGGGAGAGGTTAGGGGACAGAGAGAAGCTAGAGGCAAGCAGCCCCTTTTATAGTGGGCAGGCCTACCTAGCTGTTGCCAGGTACCTGTGGGGAGGAGCACACCTGGGTGTTGCCAGATAAGTGTGGAGGTGGAGTTTAGACAGAATACTAACACATATGATTGAATTAAACTAGATTTATGGGTGTTTAATTTGGGCAGCTTAGCTTGAGCCAGTGGATAATGAATTTTGTTAGTAGGACTGGTATTATATAGATATGAGCAATCCTAGCTGACATATTTATGTTGGTTCAGAAATTTAAAACACATGCCATTAGATGTAGCTGTGTGTCACCTTATAGATCTCAGCAGTTAACACTGCACATAGGGCAAGGACAAACACCATCTTATTAATGCCATCACCCCTACCAGGAAGGGTCTGCTCTTTCTTAAAGTCATTATACCAATATGTTTTTTCATTTATATTTATCTTTTTAAAAAGTCATTTTTGTTATTAGTTTTTAAATTTCATTTTCTTTATGCATAGGTGCTCTGATCTCTTACTTGTTTCCATTCTCCAGGGTTTCCCACAAATTAAGAATGTCATTCCTTTTTCTAAAAGATTTCCTATCTGTCTGTTTAGAGCAACATCTCCTGTAGCTCAGGCTTTCCTTATGCCATGTACTTAAGAGTTGCTTTGAACACCTGAACCTGTCTCTGCTGCCCAGTGCTTGGAAAACAGTCCTACAACTCCTTTCAATCTGGTTTCTCATTGATCAGTGAGACACAACATCAGTGAACGAGTGTTGTCTAACATCCCTGGATTAGGGGTGAGGGGATTACAAATAAAAGAGGGACCTGTATAAGAACTGAGTTCACTGACCAACTGTGGAGCTGGTATAATTGCAGCACAGAAAAGGAGGAGAAAGAAGGAAGGTGAGGCCTTTCTCCTTTGGCAGAAGTTGGCATTCACCATGACTAGTCAAGTAAGCAATTTTTGAAAATAATCATTAAAATTTCTTTCTGGCAATCTTGGGGCATTTTCCAGATTAGGGAAATGATGAATTTAAATGAAGACATGTACTTATTTCTAGAAACCAACTTTCTATATTTTCACTAGTTCAAACAAAAGTAGATCTAGACAAACTGGTCTGGCTGTGTCTAACAGGAATATGATTATTCCTATTTGAAAATACCCAGTGTAAGAGAAAAGATATGAGTACTACTTGGTACATACATTTAGTTTCTCAAAAATACTGGACCATAAAGTACGTTTTAACTCTTTTTTCGAGACAGGGTTTCTCTGTATAGCCCGGGCTGTCCTGGAACTCACTCTGTAGACCAGGCTAGCCTCGAACTCTCGAACTCAGAAATCTGCCTGCCTCTGCTTCCCAAGTGCTGGGATTAAAGGCGTGCGCCACCACCCCCCCCGGCGTGTTTTAACTCTTAAAAATAATCTTTGAAAGTATAATCGTCATGTCTTCCTTCTCCTTTGTCCCTAGTGTTAAGTCTGAAACTCTGGGACAGGGAGCTGAGAGGCCTGTTTAACAAATCAAAGCAAACCTGGCTGTCTGCTTCTCTCATCAGACTGTAGTTCCTACCTGTTATAGAATATTGATTTGGCTGCCAATATCTAAGCTGCCATTCCTTATGCAACCCAACTATTTCTGGACTGGTCTTTTTCATCTATTATTAATCATTCTGATCTCTCAGTCTGGTTCTTCCTTCTCTCATTCTACCTCGCCAAAATGACATGTCTTCTCTAAACTCTCCCAGATATAATTGGGTCTCCCTATGTTCTCTCTTTTGTGTATAATAAATTTTCTACTCCACCATACCTAGGAGCAGTGATTTCCTATAATTTTTATTTCTTCTTTTTTTTTTTTTGTTTCATTTCTCTTCAGTTAGCCACTCCTAGCTTTAAAATTTACAGCCAATTTTTCTTTTTAATTTTTGTTACTCTATGAATTTGATTGCAGTTTGGCTGCAGGTCATCCCCACTATGAAGCAGAGATGTCTGCACAGGACATTGCATGTATAATTGATTATGTAAAGAAATTGATAATTGATTCCTGTGCCTTTAACAAGGAAAACAAGTGCCCTGGGCGAATACAATATTCTATTAAATCCAAATTTCCCAGACTAGGACTATGCCTGCATTTAGGGTGGAACAGCAGAACTTGGATGGTTTCAGAACAGTAATTTGCTCTGTGGTCCCCAAGTTGAGGAGATGCTACTTACTGTCCTGATGCCCAGCTGAGTTTTCCTAGCTAAGGAGGGACTCGGGCAGGCCTGTCAATCAGAAGCACTAGTGGAAGGTAGCTTGCAGGGGGTTTACAGGATTTTCCTCATAGGCATGTGTTACAAGCTTTGCAGAAGATCACAAGCCATGCCCTGGTGACTGTGGCCATCTCTATCACCAGGACGGGAAGAACAAGTCTGGTGAGCTATCAGAGTCAGATCTACTGGTACTAAGAGAGACCATGGTTCAGAGTGTGGTTCTGTTGCTCCATGTAGTGATAATAGCAGAGGCCCTTGTCCTTTGACCCTGAGAGTGGATTCCCAGGGAGGGTCTGTAGCCATTTGAGTGGTAAGGGGTGAAACATAAAAGTCACTATGCAGTGTGTACACACAGGTGTTGCTTTTGGTGTGCAGTAGGATGACATTGCAAAAGTGGAGGTTTGATTTCTAGAATTTGTGAACCTTCTATATTCAGTTTTCTGTGACTAGTTTTATACATAATTTAGAAATTAGTAAAAGAGGTGATAGGGATCATACTTCAGAAACATTAACTAGAATTCTTTAGCCATTCTGTTACCTCCAGTACTAATGGCACGATACACAGAAATTCAATTCTTGGTTATAAAAGGAGCTTGTGAGATGAAGAAGATCCTCAGGTGTGTATGGTGCTGGATAGCTACATAGGACAGATTTTACATCTCATAACATAATTCATGTGGCAGGAAGCAGATATTAAATCATTATTCAATATTGTGTTTTGTTAGACTTGAGTGGAGCTAGTTTTACCTGAAATCACTAGGGCTCATGAAGAGCTGCAGAGCCATAGACCATGTTTCTGATCACCTACCTCTATTGACAGAACTCTATACCATCAGGCCTCTCTGTTTGGAAGACAGACAGGTAGTAACTGAAAGGTCAGAAATATAACATTTTAGGCTTCACTTGAGTTATTTTTGTAGGAGTCATGAAATCTGTTTTTATTTTATTTGTATACAAATATAGGTAACATTGGTGAAGTTCACATTTTTCCTGGTGTAGTTCCCTCAGTTGTTTGGCAGAGAACTTGAAAACAGGTCACATGGAAATCGGCAAAGGAAGGTTTCTCTGATAATTTTTTTCAGAGCATTGGGCAAGAGTGAGAATTTGGTCTTGGGAAACAGATAGTGGGATGAGTCTTTGGACAGCCTACTTAGTCTTCTGGAGGACTGGCCTGTGGTTAAGTAGGGGGTTTCTGTCCATAGTTCAGAGCTCAGACACAGAAATGGGTAAGAAGGGAAGGGAAGATGGAAATGGTCTTTTGTATCTACAGGAGGCCTGGACAGGTGACAAGAAACTGCAGTCCTAAGGGCACCCTTGGGTATTGGGTCTCAGGGAACAGAAAGTGAGGAAGGTCTGGCAGGAAGCTACATAGTCTCATACCCAACATTTTAATACAGAGGCATCGGGATCCCAGAGATCATTTATTTGCTTCTACATTTACTTCAGTTGTTGTTGTTATTCGACTGTGAATGACTGTTTGCTTATTGGATAAAACGTGCTATGTGGATGGGCAGGGAAGTTAGTTAAGTATTCTTTTTGAAGTACACATGTACACTCTTTTTGGAATCATGCTTTCTTATGTACATATATACTGGAACTTTTAGGATGTAGTGACCTATGATGATGTGCATGTGAACTTCACTCGGGAAGAGTGGGCTTTGCTGGATCCTTCTCAGAAGAGTCTCTATAAAGATGTGATGTTGGAGACCTATAGGAATCTCACAGCTATAGGTAATACAGTGATTTTTTTATTTTTATTTTTTTTAGCTTTTGAAATGTAGGCACATCTGCTTCTTTGTTATTGGTATTTGTATTTGTAATTTCAGTTGAGAATGAGGAAGAACAAGGTGAATGAACAGAGATGTTTCTAAAGTTCACTCAAGTTGATAACTTAAATGTCTAATTTGCAATAAAGTAACATACTTTCTTGGCACCATATTTTAGGCCACATTTTGGAAGACCATACTATTGGTGAACATTTTCCAGGTTCTAGAAGACATGGAAGGTAATTTTCATGTGCAAGCTCATAAGAAAATGCCTATGAATAAAGTTTAATATGTGCTACAAGTTGTAAAGAAAAGCAGTAGGATAAAATATGCACTGGATTAAGTTATACGTGATTATTAAATCTCACAAAATCATGTATGTCGATGGCAGACATCCAGTTTATGTTTGCAAGGTGTTCCTTAATTTCAAAAAACATAATAAAACAGTTATGTCACTCTTTGAATCAAGCTCAGTAGAGCCATGTTCTAGAACTGCCAATCTGTTCAGTCTCATACTACTTAGCTTTTGTAAAAGGGAAACAGATTTATTAGGTGATAAGCATATGTCTAAAACCTTGTAATATGCAAATAATTCATAGTAAATCTGTTGTTAGCCATGTACTTTTAGTAAGCATTGCTAAATTTATTGAGATGGACAGTTTATGAGATTTAAGGATGGCTTTGTGGAGAAACTTGAATCTCTGTACCACATCAATATGAGAGAAAGTGTCAAACTCTGTGAATGTAATGTGGAACCCTTTCACTTGTTATTCTTTTTTTTTTTTTTAAATGTGGATGATGTACATCATGACTGATACAAGCCATTTGAGCATAGATATACTGAAAGGAACAACATACCTTTCTCTTTTCCAGAACAATTAGTAGATATATAGTCCTGCCTACTTTGAATAGACATTTCTAAGTGTGCTAAAAGTTTACATATAATTAGTTTCCCAATATTATTGAGGAGGATATTTACTGCTGAAAATCTTTATGAGAATTAGGGAAGTAGAAATGTTTTCTGTTAGCATTGGTTTATACTCCAAATGTTTTATTATTCACAACAATAGCAAAATTTCTGAATGCAGTCAGTTTTCAGAAGCTCTGAATTCTTTCTATTATCTTCAAATATGTGAAGAGCCTCTTATAAAAAATTATGCTATAAATGTTAGCCATGTAATCAATACTCCTCCCATTCCATGCATCTTTAAAGATATACACCAACCAATAATGAAAGACAACACCTTTGAATGTTAACAAAGTGATATTATGGTAAGATCAGATAACCATTACAATTTAACCAAATTGTAAATGAATTTATACAGATAAAAACACTCATCAGTATAATCAATGTGAGAAAGTTTTCACATTCGCCAATTTCTTTGCAGGCATGAAAGAAGTTGTTTTGGAGAGCAACCGTCTGAGATTGCTCAATGTGCTAAAGCTTTTGCATATCAGAGTCATACTCAAAGGCATGAAAGAACTCATAATGGACAGAAACCCTATGCATGTAACCAGTGTGGTAGAGCCTTTGCCCGTAGCAATGATCTCCAACGTCATAAAAGAACACATACAGGGGAGAAACCCTATGAATGTAACCAATGTGGTAAAGCCTTTGCTGGAAGCAGTGGTCTCAATTATCATAAAAGAACACATACAGGGGAGAAACCCTATGAATGTAACCAGTGTGGTAAAGCTTTTGCACACGGCAATGGTCTGGAATATCATAAAAGAACACATACCGGAGAGAAACCCTATGAATGTAACCAATGTGGTAAAGCCTTTGCACATATTAGTGTTCTCCGACATCATAAAAGAACACATACAGGGGAGAAACCCTATGAATGTAAGCAATGTGGTAAAGCCTTTGCACACAGCAGTGGTCTCAAATATCATAAAAGAACACATACAGGAGAGAAACCCTATGAATGTACCCAATGTGGTAAAGCCTTTGCACATAGCAATGTTCTCCAATATCATCAAAGTACACATACAGGGGGAAAACCCTATGAATGTAACCAATGTGGTAAAGCCTTTGCTGGAAGCAATGGTCTCAATTATCATAAAAGAACACATATAGGGAAGAAACCCTATGAATGTAACCAATGTGGTAAAGCCTTTGCACAAAGCAGTGATCTCAAATATCATAAAAGAACACATACTGGGGAGAAACCCTATGAATGTAACCAATGTGGTAAAGCCTTTGCACACAGCAGTGGTCTCAAATCTCATAAAAGAACACATACAGGCGAGAAACCCTATGAATGTAACCAATGTGGTAAATCCTTTGCTCGAAGCAGTGGTCTCAAATCTCATAAAACAACACATACTGGGGAGAATCCCTATGAATATAACCAATGTGGTAAAGCCTTTGCACATAGCACCGTTCTCCAAAGGCATAAAAGAATACATACAGGGGAGAAACCATATTAATGTAACCAATCTGATAAAACCTTTTCACAAATCAAGCGTCTTAATACACATAAAAGAACATGTATTTGAGCAAAACCCTGAGTGTATCTAATGTGGTGAAGGTTTTTAACACAGCAGTCATCATGACAATCTTAAAAAGACACATAGAGGAAAGCAATTTTTGAATGTGAGCAATGTGGTTTTAAACCTTTTTCACCATGCAGTTTCCCCCAAATATATAAAGGACCATATACTGGAGGGAAAGTCTGTGAATATCATGAATGTTATGAAGCTCTTCGATGTCCCAATCATCTTCAAATATATAAAAGAACTTGTACTGGAGAGAAATCCTCTGAATGTAACTAATGTGGTAAAGCCTTTGCACAAGAGTCGAGTACATCAAAGGATACACACTGAAGAGAACACTATGAATATAAGCACTGTGGTAGGCTTTTGCAAGTCACAGTACTCTCCATGTAAATAAACGAAGAAACACTCAAGAGAATCTCTATGAATATCATCTACGGGATAGAGCCTTTGTACTTTGCGATCTGCTTCAAGTACATAAAAGAAGACATACAGGTAAGAATGTAAGCAATGTGGCAAAGCCTTCATATGTCAGTCATATTCAAAGGCACAAAAGAAACCATAATGTAGAGAAATCCTGTAAATGTATTTAATATGATGAAGCCTGTGCAAACTTCTATAGACTTCATCACCATGAAAAAATCTTATACTGGTTTGAAATTTATGAATACATTTAATATTGTGAAGCCTTTTCAATTTTCCCAAGTTTTCATCAGCATGAAATAGAAACCCTACATGCACTCAATATGGGGAAGACTTTGTATATTTTTATAGACTTCATCATCATGAAAGCACTCATAATGGAGAGAAAGTCTATGAGTATAAACAGTGTGGTAGAGGCTTTCTGTTATGGGGTCCTCTCAGATCCAGAACCACTCAATTTCAGGTAATGCAAGTGACAGGATTTCATGGTAATAAACCTGCTGCTAGATCATGATGTACTCTGAACATAATGTGTGACTTATTTGTTTGTTTGTTTGTTTGTTTTTTGATTTTTCGAGACAGGGTTTCTCTGTGTAGTCCTGGCTGTCCTGGAACTCACTCTGTAGACCAGGATAGCCTCGAACTCTGGAACTAAGAAATCCACCTGCCTCTGTCTCCCAAGTGCTGGGATTAAAGGCGTGCACCACCACCACCCGGCATAATGTGTGATTTGTAACACACACATTTCCCCAAGTGATTCAGAATGTTATACAGCTGTCATCCTGCAGTCCAAACGTTAATACACAATTATTAATGTCTGAAAGAACTAGAGGAACAAAAGCAGTGAAGAGACTGAGCAAAAGGAGTTCCAATGACATGTCCAAATTGAGATCCATCTCACTGGGTGGCCCCAACATCTGACACTATTACTGATGCTACAGTCTGCTTACAAACAGAGAACTGTCATGACTGACGTCCAAGAGGCCCATTAAACAGGTGAAAGAGTCAGATGCAGATATTTACATCCAATCAATGAACAGAAACTGGTGACCCATGAGGTTGAATTAGGGAAAAGCTGGAAGAAGTTGAGGAGGAGGGCGAATATATAGGAAGTCAAGCGGACTGAACTGGCCTGTACCCCTGGGATCTTTCAGACACTGAGCCACCAACCAGGTAGCATAAACCACCTGATATACAGCAGAGGACTATTGGGTCTGGACTCAATCAGAGAAGATACAAGTGACCCTCCAGAAACTTGGGGCCCCAGGGAGTGGGGAGGACTGGTGGGGTGGGGGTTGTGCATAGAGACATCTTGGAGACTGGGGGAGGAGTAGGATGAAGAAGAGGTGGAGGGTGGACAAGGAGGGGTATAAAATCTGAATTGTAAAAAATACTGAACAATAAATTTAAAGAATAAGAAAAAAAATTATAAAAATAAAGAGAGAACACCAGAAACTTCTGTGCCAAGTTACAACTACATTTTCCCACCAATCAGGATTTCAGAAGAGGGGCTTATGTAGTTGATAGTGTCAACTGTTATAGAATGTGTGTTTTGCAGTTTAAACAATCATATTGATTTGATATTTGGTGGTAAAGAATAGGTGTTATATTTTGAGGAGCACAAGATGAATGGCAGAAGACATTGTTAGAGACAATCTTTGTGTTTTCAAGAACAAAAGATGAGTAAAGGATGGTGGTACAGAGTGGGAAGTCTGTAACTCCCCCATGTCTGGAAGTGTGAACATAAGTTTCACCAGGTCATTAAATGGAGGATGATAGCAATAAGGCAGTACTTAAAGAGTGGTGTTTTGTTTTCTGCTTATTCCTAATTGTTGTGTATTGGTTCTAATGCTACTTGTGTTAAATTGCTTCCCAGATCTCATCAGAGTCCTGTATTTGAGACTCTGATATTCCCTGCCCCAAGCTGGTTCTAATTGGTAAATAAAATTGCCAGCAGCCAATGAGTAGGCAGGAAGACACAAGCAGGACTTTTGGATTCATGGGCAAGGAGACCAAAGAGGATTGCCATGCCAGTAAAGGAATTGGATGCAGGCTTGAGAGCTGCAAAAGACAGTTCCAGCCATGAAAGAGGCAGGAAAAAGTGTTCCCATGTTCCCTCCTCGGGTTAAATCTGGGAGAGCAGAGATGGAATATAGATTTTAGTAAGTAATATTTCAGGCGTATCGCAGGGGAGTCATTAGCAGTGTGCAAGTTGGGGAGTGGCCCATCCAATGAGCTGATTTAGGCATATTAAATAAAGCTATATGTGTTTGTCTATCATTTATTTGAGAATCCATAGCATTTGCAAGGCTTCCTATAGTAGAGTAGAATAACCAACTACTCTACAGAACGTTTCTCACCTTTATGGTGAAAACTTTATTCTTAGCAGAGTTGCTGGTTTTGCTGAAGCCATGTGGCTCCTCACCAAGCTATGCAGGTTCCCAACTAGAACAAAAGGTGAATTGAACTTGCATGCATAATTCTGAGGTTCATGGCATGAACTGGGGCACAGCAAATATATCCAAAGCTGACCCAGATAATCTGACCAGTAAGCATTTATTATGGCTCTCTCAGAGAGATTGAGCTCTGAGGTGCTGTCCAAAGAAACAGGCATCTCAGAAAACAGACACAAAGGTAGATGGTAGAGGCTGCCTGCCAGCTATAATCAGATAAAGAAAGAGGAGAGGTAGACGAGATTTTTTTTTTCAGTATAAAAGAGATACAGTGGTAACTATTTAAGTGTTTGTGAGTATACATGGAATAAAGTAATCCAGGCTTTTACTCTCAAATATAGGGAACAAATGCATGAAGATAGAGAGATACTCTATCTCTACAAATAATAATAAGAGGCATTAATTTCTACACAATGGAGAATGAATGGAAAAAATGTTTTAAAGAACAATTCCTTGTTTTAAGATTCATATATTGCAGAATGTGCCCCTTTGACAAGATTCATTGGTGGGGATGCTGAGATGATCTGTTTTTCCAGCTATCTGCCTCCTGATGCTGGAAGAACTGGTGAAATATTTTGGATTGGTTCTAATGCTACTTGTTTTAAATCAGTTCTCAAATTGCCCAAGAACCATGCATTTGTGATGATGTGCATTCCTGTCCTCAGCTGGTGCTAACTGATAGACTTGCACAGCCACTGTCGGGGAGCAGAGGAAATTATCCAATTACTAATACACACAATATTTACCTATCAGTCATTTTTCAATAAATAAGAAATTAACCACATTGGAGAGAAACCCTACCAATGAAATTAATGTGATAAGGCCATTTTACTTAGTTATCCACAAATACACAACATATGGGACAAGAATCCCCTGAATAAGCAATTGGTAAATCATTTACATGTAGCCATATTCTCAAATACCATGAGAAAGGCCATACTGCAGAAGAAAGCTTATTTGAAGTCAGTGTGGGAACATTTTCCTTTATACAAGAGTAGTATGTTCAGTGTACAATCAATCTTAAATTCTTTCGCCATCACAATAGTCTTTGAGGAAGTAAGGCACCATACTGAAGGGTATCTATAATTATAAAGGATTTTTTAAGATCTATAACCAACACACAAGATTATTTTTCAGGAAAAAAAAATGTGTCAACAGTCTATTCAAGCTGTATGATGTGATGTTCCTCTATATTTTGTTTGAAATTGTAATCTTTTTTCTTTTTAATTGCATAAAATTTCTCAACCAAGTGTCACACTTTCTTGCTCTGTTTTAATGTGTTTTCTGTTGCTGTGCTAAAACCCAATGTCTAAAGCAACTTACAACAGAATTTAATTTGGCATATGACTTTAGAGGGGTATGAGATCACATGAGATATGGCAACAGAAGTTCTACAAATTCCCTTCAGATGTTGTGATTTGTTATGTAGCATGACTGGGATGTCAGTCATTAGTCAAGGACACACTTTATCTCTTGATTCTCATGTGTCAGTCTATTGAATACAAATTATAGCATAGTAGATGGACCCCAATGTTTTCTGTTTTGTCAACATATCTTACAATGTTAATGTTAAAATGCTTAATAGAAGAAGATATATTAACCATAAAATCCTTTCATATGCATCTATCTATTGATGTTCCAGGCTACTTTATATTCTCATTATGACCTGGCCAGCTCAGTCAGTCAACAGCTTCTCCAGCTCAGGAGTAAGGATTAAAAAGTAAAAAGATGATTAGACAACATTGTAACATGACCTCAGCCAGTTCTGAGGCTGACGGCAGCTTTACTTTTTCCTACTTTACTTTTATACCATTTTAATCAGGTGCAAGTATTTAGGTCAGTTCTAGGTTGAGGAACTAGCAATACAATAAATGCAAGTAGTCAAGGAACAAGCAAGGCAATAAGCAAAGTTCTTTGATCACTCCCTTGATCACTGTTTGTAAGGGCTTATCAGAATGATCTAAATATCTAAGCCTACTTCCCTGTCCTAGCCCAAAGTCATATTCATGCCTGAAGCCTACATCTTTGTTATACCCTAGATGTAGATTCCTGACTGAAATTACTTCCCTGTTTTAGCCTAAAATTAGATTCCTTCCTGAACTTGCTTTCCTGTCATGGACGAATGTCAGATTCCTGCCTAAACCCATTTCCTTGTCCTTGGCCAATGTCAGATTCCTGCTAAGTGGCCCCAAAAGCTCTCCACACCATTAGGTACCATTTGGTACTTCATCTTGAAGTATGCCAACTAAGGGGATTGTCTAGAAATGCTCGATAATGTAACAGAAATGACATTTTTTTTTAAAAAGCTTTTTATTTTTATTTTACTATTTTATGTATTCACCATTGCTCTCCTCAGAAACACCAATAGAGGGCAACAGATCCCATTGCAGATAACTGTGAGCCACCATGTGGTCGCTGGGAATTGAACTCAGGACCTCTGGAAGAGCAGCCAGCGCTCTTAACCACTGAGCCATCTCTCCAACATGACATGGAATTTTTTTTGTTGTTTTTTCGAGACAGGGTTTCTCTTTATAGCCCGGGCTGTCCTGGAACTCACTCTATAGACAATACTGGCCTCGAACTCAGAAATCCGCCTGCCTTTGCCTCCCAAGTGCTGGGATTAAAAAGTAAAAAGATGATTAGACAACATTGTAGCATGACCTCAGCCAGTTCTGAGGCTGAAGGCAGCTTTATTTTTTTCCTACTTTACCACCACCACCCGCCCGGTGGTAAGACCACCCTTAGAGATTAATAAGTTCTTATTTCAAAATTTAAGAATAAGTGATCTGGGGCTGGAGAGATGGCTCAGCGGTTAAGAGCACTGACTGCTCTTCCAGAGGTCCTGAGTTCAAATCCCAGCAACCACATAGTGGCTTATAACCATCCGCAATGAGATTGGATGCCCTCTTCTGGTGTGTCTGAAGACAGCTACAGTGTACTCATCAATAAAATAAATAAATAAATATTTAAAAAAAAAATAAGTGATCTGGAGAGGGCTGTAGGAGATGGCTCAGTGGGTAAGAGTGCTTGTTGCACAAACATAAGGACCTGAGTTAAAATCCCCAGCACCCCATACAAAGCTAGGTATGGCCTCAAATACTTGAAACCCCCGTGTGGGCAAGGCAGGAGCAAAGACCGATGTCTGCAGCTCACTGGTTGGCCAACCTAGCTAAAATAGCAAAGTTTAGGATAAGTGAGAGAAAGCATGATACAACAGGATACCCACCTTGACTGTTCTAGCAGCAGCACCCTTAGACATGCACACCCACTCAAGCACACTTGAGTATAAATAAAATCTGAGGTTGAAGAGATTGCTAGGGGTTTAAGAGCACTCACTGCTCTTCCTAAGAACCCAAATTCAGTTCCAGCATCTATATCAGGTGACTTAAAACCACTTATAACTCTAGCTACATGTGATCTAACACATCCACAGACAAATAGATACACGTGATAAAAAATGTTAAAAAACCAAAAACTGGAGGAGCCTGGTGTGGTGCACATGGGAGATGAAGATAGGAACCAGGAGGTAAAAGGTCATTGGCTACATGGGAAGTTCAAGGCCAGTCTGGGCTATATTTTAAGGCCCAGTTCCAAAAAACAAACAAGCTAACAGGTAAGAAAGTACACAATAATAGAATGTTTATTTGCCTAGGGTCTCCTAGGCCTATGGATTCAATTCTTAATACCACAGGGGGGAAAAAAGGAAAGCAAAAAGATCAGACAATCTTTCCAGGAGTTTTGTTTCAGAATGAAGCAGGGAAAGTCATGGTTTGTTGCTTGTATTCTGGAATTTTGGAGCCTGGGGTTGGGAGGATTGTTAGTTTGATGCCAGCCTGTCTGGGCAACTTCATAAGATGGTCTCAGATAGAATTAAAAGATAATGGCCAGAGAGATGGCATTGTCAATAAGAGTACTGGCTGCTCTTCTAGAAAATCTGGGTTTGGGGGCCGTGCGGTGGTGGCGCACGCCTTTAATCCCAGCACTTGGGAGGCAGAGGCAGGCGGATTTCTGAGTTCAAGGCCAGCCTGGTCTACAGAGTGAGTTCCAGGACAGCCAGGGCTACACAGGGAAACCCTGTCTCGAAAAACCAAAAAAAGAAAAAGAAAAAAAAACCTGGGTTTGATTCTGAATATCCACATGGCATCTTACAACCCTTGTGACACCAGTTCCAGGGACCTAGAACCCTCTTTTGGCCTCTGCAGGTACCAGGGAGACATGTGGTACACATACATGCAGGCAAAACACACATATATATGAAAAAGAGCTTACAAATAGCTCAATGATAAAGCAAGGCCCTACATCCGGTTCTAGTGCTACAAGGGGAAAAAGGGGTAGGGAAGGAATGGAGAGAAGAATCAAAAATTGAGCATGTTATGTTCCTCAAATCCACACACCTTTTTAAAAAGTTGACTTAAAATGTCAGCTGCAGAAAATGTCAGTGATAGAGCAGCCTGAGAAGTATGTAGAGTCTGAGGGGTACAGGTTCTTCACTCAGGAAAGAATCCCAGGACAAGTCAGAGGGAAACAAAGTTGAGTTTAGTAAGCAGAAAGACAGTGAACCTGAGAACGGGGATTACAGTTCTTGATGAAGTTGGTGTGATCATTGTATTGAAAACTCCTAGCTGGGCAGTGGTGGTGCACGCCTTTAATCCCAGCATTTGGGAGGCAGAGGCAGGCAGATTTCTGAGTTCAAGGCCAGCCTGGTCTACAGAGTGAGTTCCAGGACAGCCAGGACTACATAGAGAAACCCTGTCTCAAAAAACCAAAAAACAACAACAACAAAAACCAAATGTACTCACATTAATGAAGGGCTGGACATGGTGGCATATGACTTTAATCCCAGGCACTCAAAGGTAGTCTTAGTTTGAGACCAGCCTGGTCTAGGTAATAAGTTCTAAGACCCAGAGCTACACAGAACCTGTCTCAAAACAAAACAAAGTAATTATGGCCAAAAGCTATGAACCTGAAACTTTGTCCTCTCCAACGTAGAAAAACAAGAACCACAAATCAGGCTTCTGAATTTAAGATGCTGGGATGAACTCAGTTCTCACGTTTGTCTTCATGGGACCTTAGCCTTGCACCCCCTTGCCCAGCCCTTCCTCTCCATTTCTAGCCAGATTGCCAAGGCCCCACATAGGCCATACTCAGTTCCTAGAGGGCTCTTGGTCACAGATTTCCATTGGCAAAAGTCAAGGTGCGTCTCATCAGGCATTACTTACAAACAGGGCTGTGTCTTAAATTTGTGTCTTTAAAGATGATTTTACCGCAGAGTACAGTTATGTGAGCTCAGCCAACTTTCATGTCAGTAGCCAGTACAATCCTAGTGGACTGTCATGCTTTATATGTAGGCCACAGTGTCTGAATTATCTTGTGACATAGGATGGTATTTGGGTTTTAAATTCTTTCAAGGCATGAGTGTTGTGTTATATGAGCATGTGTAGACCAGAGGAGGGATCAGTCGTCCTCTTATTACTGTATTTTTTTTCTCTTTTTAAAAAAAAAAGTTTTGAGATAGAGTTTCTTCTATGTATAGCCCTGGAACTCACTCTGTAGACCAGACTGGCCTCAAAATCAGATTAGCCTCCCTCTGCCTCCCTAGGGCTAGGATTAAAGGCTTGAGCCACCATGTCTGACTACTTTATTCTCTTTGAGATAGGGTCTCCTCGTTAGCCTAAAACTTGGGTGGTTTTTTTTTTGTTTTTTTCTCAACCAGCAAAACCCAGCTCTTTCCTACTTTCTACATTTACCTACTGTGCTCGGGTTATGGGCACAGTTAAGACTGTGGCCAGCTTGTTCTGTGGGTGCTGGAATCCAAATTCAGGTCCTCTTGGTTGCCAAGCAAGCACTTTCCTACTGAGCTACCTACCTAGCTACAATATTTGGGTTTTAAGATTGTATATGTAGATTGGCTGGAGAAGGTTTTGTTTGCCTCAGTGAGGAGTTGTTCCCCAAGAGAATGTTCTCTGGATATAAGGGTTGTATTAACCTTTGAGTGCCTGTCTATATTAAGAGATTCTCATCACCCAGCCAGGATTTTCTGACTGTAATGGTTTGAACTTCCCTCAATTATCACAATGTAATACATGTTCATTACTGAAGGAAAAAAATCAGGAAATGTTAATGAGTAAAACTTATAGCATTTGAGGTGCTCATATAAATTGGGGGTTCATTTAATTCACTGAAAATTCGAAACCTTATGAAAGGTTTATATCAATTAGCTCATTTTTCAGATGTGGAAAATAAGACTGGTTAAATAATTCAATCATAAGCTAATAACTGGCAGACTGTTTTAAAGCTAGAGTCAGGCATGGTCTACTACCCTCAAAAAACTTGTGTAGGTATGTGTATTTGTGTGTGTATATGTATGTATATATGTATGTACACACACACATACACAGGAGTTCACATAGTATGAAACACTTTTTACTTCCACATATTGTGCTCACCTTTCCATATCAATAAATGGATGTCTTTGACCTTCTTATTTTATCTCCTATTTCCAGGATCGATGAGAATGTGCTTGGAGCCCAGCTGGATGTTGAGGCTGCCCGTTCAGAGATCCTCAAGTACTTCCAGTCAGTCACCTCCAATCGGTGGCTCATGTTCAAAATCTTCCTCATCCTCATTGTCTTCTTCATCATCTTTGTGGTCTTCCTTGCCTGAGCCCTCCTCCCTCATTCTGAGCCACTCCATGGAGGGCTTGGGACCCTCCTGGGAGGACAGGTGGCCACTATGGCCACTGAGCCTGTGCAAGGTGATTGGGAGAAAGGCCATCTCCTTGGAACTGCTAAGAATGGCCAGTGTCCCTGATTTCCTACCCTTGTTTCTGGCCACTCTGTCCTACCCTCAGGCCTATGAAACACACTGGTTCTGGATTTGGACTCTGCTGTGAAATGGCTGGGAACAGAAGCCAGCTAAGGGCCAGTGGGGGAGGTTGTCTCCACCATGAGATTTTTATAAACCCATACCAGCCTCCCCCTAAGGTAACTGGCAGCAAGAGAAGATAATGCCCTTCCTTACCTTCTTGAGAGTGAGGCAAGGAAGTAAAACTATCCCAGGGACCAACTTTATCATCTGGGTCAACTAGAACTTGACTGCCGCCTTCTCCTCACCATGTGAGGTGAGGGGGCTCTGAGCCCTACAGTTGCCTGCACAAACCTGACCTTGGCTACTGGTGACTCTCAATCTGCCAAACATGCTGCAGCCTGTTTCCTCCCAATTACAGCAAGACTGTCAGCCTCACTAGTGATGTTGTCATTTCTGGGTGGGGTTGTCAAGGGCTTCAGCAGCAAGCAAACCATTGCTTAATACCAGAACCAAAAGGGGTAAGTTGGTGGCTCTGATGGGCCCCCACTGATAGGCAGGGTAACTTTGGAGCTCTGTACCCACAACTCCCTCCTAGAAGGGAGTATCGAAGTACAACAGCACTTTATTAGAATTTTCCTTTGAACTGGAGCCAAGTGGATTCATAATTGGGTGGCAAGTTCCAGGACTGTCCCAAACACAGTGTGAGCCTGTTCTGTCTCTATCCTCACTCAAATCGCTGGGTCCTGATTTTTGACCTGAGTGAAGCAAGAGCTCTGCTGCTGGGAGAAGATAACTTTGCCTGGCTCCAGTTTGTACTCAGCTTTTGATACCTTCTGAGATCCTCAGCAAAACCACTGCAAAATGCAAGTGATCCACCTAACGCAGACCCTCAAGGGAGGTTAGTGAGTTCTGTCCTTCCCCATCAGTATTAAGTCATGCTTCATACCTCCCAGTGCCTGATCTGCTCCCCTCCCACAGCAGCATCTGGATCCAAGGAATCTGAGGCTCTAAGAATCCTAGCCACACCAAAAACTTCTAGAAAAGCTCTTGGGTTTGCCATTTAAAAGTTTCAATCAGCTGGGCAGTGGTGGCTCACAGCTTTAATCCCAGCACTTGGGAGGCAGAGGCAGATGGATTTCTGAGTTCAAGGCCAGCCTGGTCTACAGAGTGAGTTCCAGGACAGCCAGGGCTACACAGAGAAACCCTGTCTTGAAAAAAAAAAAAAATCAATCAGCACTTAGGAGTAGGAAGCAGATGGATCTCTTGAGTTTGAGGCCAATTTGATCTTCAAGACAGAGTTCTACAGAAATCCTGTCTCAAACAAACAAACAAAAAAAAATCACTGCTAGCAACTTTACTTACCTTACCTGAGTCTACCAATTCGGCTTCAGCATGACGGCTAGGGTTTCGAGTGAAGATCAAGGCTCACTAGATCCCTGATTTTGTTTTGAAATGACCTCACTATGTAACCTTCGTTATCTTTGTACTCGATATGTAGACAAAGTACTGATACTGAGACTAAAACTTGGGGGGAGGGGTCGGACAAGGTTTCTACATAGCTCTAGCTGTCCTAGAAATTCTTATAGAGCCCAGACTGGCCTCAAATTCAAAGATCCGCTTGCCTAAGCCTTCCAAATGTTGGGCTTAAAGACCTGTGCCACTACACCCGGCCTGACGCTTTTTTGTTTAGGCAATTTGTAGAAGACCTACAAGGGAACGAGGATTTCGCTTAATTCACACTTGGGTTTCACACTGGGCATGATATCGTGCCAGGTGTGCTGGAGGAAGAAAAGCTGTGCATTAGTTAAGGTTCCTGCTCCAGTGGGGCTTACATTCGAACTTTCTATTTCATCATAATCCGTCGAAGAGGCGGAAAAAAAAGCTGGGAGGGCATAGGCCGGCGGCTGGCAAGGAACTGAGCTGCGACTTACACGCAACCGGGATCCCACCGGCGGGGACTGTGAGCCGTTACTCTCGATCAGAGGCCAGGTCTCCATTCTTCTGTGTAGCCTTTGTCTCTACTCCTCCGAGTTCAGTGCTAAAGCAGACCGCTCAGCTCCAGTGCGAACACCGGCGCTGCCGGGCCAGCGGAGAAGTAGGAAGGCGAGGCCGGCCTATAAGCCAGCGCGCCCCGAGCTCCGGCCGTGGGCGGGGCTCGGAGGGCCTGGCCACGCCTCCGAGCGGCCGCCCTGTTTCTGCGCAGGCTCAGAGAGCGCATTCCCGCCCCGCGGCACCGCCCACATCCTGGGGAGGTCCGGGGCGCGCGACGTGCTTCGCCGGATAAATGCCGTGGCGCCGGTCGTAGGTGAGCTTCTGTCCTGAGCGCCAACCCGTCTGCGCGTTTGGTGGCGTCAGGTTCTGCGCCTGAGCCCGCCCCTGTACCTGCCTGTGCCATGGCGGACGAAGGGAAGTCATACAACGGTTAGTGCTGGGCCTCGGGCCGGGAGGCGACGCGGTGGGTCGGGGTGGGCGGCCCTGGCCTAGGCCTCAGCCCGGGGGCGGGAGGCCGCGAGGACCCCTACATCCGTAGGTAGCGGTGGCCGCGCGGGCAAGGGGCTCGGGGCGCCACGGGACCCGGGGGCTCCAGAGTCGCCCGGATTCTGGCGTTGGAGGACCTGTGGCTCAGGGGTGGGGTGACAAGATTCCTTTCAACTTTGAGGGTGGTTGATGCCTGTCAGTTCATTTGGCGGCTCGACTCTTCCTTTAAATGTGAGTCAGTAGTCACTTGGTCGTGGGCTACCCTGGTGCCCTATTTTTTTTTTTTTTTAATACGATCAATCTGTTCCTTCGGCTTGCTGCTGATTGTTTACCAGTTTTCTAGTCCGAACACCTACCCTGACTTGTTAATTCATTGTGGTGGGTAGGACAGTATCACAGCTGAGGTTTGAATCTGGAGTTGGCTGTGCTAACCCCGAGTGAGTTAAACTTTCAGGCCTTGTTTTCCACCTCTTTCATGTGGGTACCTGTCTTCCAAGTGTGGGTGCGTGTGCCTGTGTGTGTGTATGAGATCATTTCTGTCAAGTGCCTGGAACACAGTGACTGGAGTGGGGATTTTTCAGTGAACCGTAGTTGCACTGTCTCATAATGTATTCCTTTTTATTAGGGTCATTTGGTGAGGATCATTGTTTAGAGGATGCTAGATATTAGGTAGATTCCTTTGAAAGTTATGAACCTTTTTTGTGTTTGTGTGGTACTGATGATTTATCCAGGACTGAAAAATCGTGGGCAAGTTTTCTCTACCCAATGAACCTTTATTTTAATTCAAATATAATTACTTGATCTTCCTCCAGCCACTCCCATGTCCCTCCTCTTGCAACCTGCCGAGTCCACTTAGTGTTGCCTCTATGTGTTTGTTTGTAAAGCTTACCATTTGGGATTGGATAACCATTTAGGGAGTTCATCTCCAGGGAAGGCTAATTCTCCCTTCTAGGGTCAGCCTTAGTACCCCAGGCTGGTGTCAGCCAGTCTTCCTGTGTCAGCTTCGCAAGTTCAGTATTGCAGCCAGGTGTGTGCCACTATGCCTGTCTCATGGACTTTTACACATTTTACTTTTTTTGTTTTTGGACCTGGGGTTGAACTCAAGGCCTGGCAAAAGCTAAATAAATAGAACCAAGTGTAGTAGTACACTGTTTAAGGGAAGAAGATCAAGGTCATCCTCCACTACACACATAGTATACCAGGCCTTCTGTTCTCCAATAGAGCTATATTCCAATTCCTTGTTATTGTTTTGAAATGGTTCACCAAAGTGCCCAGACTGACTTGAAGTTTCAAATTCTGCCTCAGACTCAGTCTGGGTGAGGGGTGTGTGTGTGTGTGTGTGTGTGTGTGTGTGAAGGATAGGCAAGCACTTTGTCATCTGAGCTGTATCCTTAGCCCTCCTTTTATTTATTCTATCTACATATATGCAGACCACACACTAAGAGAAATAGGGTCTCAATCCCAGTCTGGCCTTGAACTCTGTAGTTCCTTAAACAGTATACTACTACACTTGGCTTTTATTTATTATTTATTTATTTATTTATTGAAACAGTGTCTCAATGTGTAGTTCTGACTGTTCTACAACTCCACGGAGTAGACCAGGCTGGCCTTCAAAATTCAGAAGTTCTCTGCCTGCCACTATCTGGGGTTAAAGATGTGGGCCACTATGTTTGGCTTCTTTCCCTTTTTAAGACAGGTTCTTAGCTGATCTGGAACTTGAAATTCTCCTGCTTCAAACACTGGTTATGTTGAAGAACATTCCAGGACCCTAATGTGGAACCTGCACCAGACCCTGAATCTAGAAGTCCCATAAGACGCAGGCTATTTTTGCCCAAAGAAACTAGCATTTCCCAAATTCAGAGTGCAGGAGATGGTAGTTTTTAGAAGGCTTGAAATATATCATATTTGTAAGATTTTTTTATATTTTGAGATAGAATCTCATGTAGCCCAAGATGGTTTTGCACTCTTGTGTAATTGAAGCCTCCACTTACCATTTGCCAGGATTGCAGGTATTGGCCACAACATCTGGCTCTGTGCCCATCAGTTGTACATACAACAAAAGAAATTGCAAGTGGCAGATTTCAGGTGCTTTTCAGGAGTCTGGTTAGTTTTTGGGGTTGCTTACACTTCCACATTTTATTTTTCTCTGTAGGAACTGGTTTCTGGGTGTTTTTGTTTTTCTTTTTGCTTTTTTTTTTCTTTAAATTTTAAGTCTTTTGGCAATTTTATACATATGTACAATGTATTGTGATTGTATTTACCTTTCATTACTTTTTTTTATTTTTACTTATTTATTTTGTTTATTTAGTTAATTAACTTATTTAGTGTGTTAGTGCTCTGATGCATGTTTACCTGCATGCCAGAAGGGGGCATCAGATTCCTTTATAGATAGTTATGAACCACTATGGGTGCTGGGAATTGAACTCAGCACCTAAACTGGGTGCTCTAACTGTTGAGCCATCTCTCTAGCCCTACTCTTTCTTTTTAAGGATTTATTTTTTTCTGTGTCTTGAGTATTTTGCCTGTATATATATTTGTGTATCATGTGTGTATCTGGTGCCTGCAGAGGTCAGAAGGCATTGGATTCTCTGGAATTAACTACAAAGGCTACTTCCATACAGACACCAGAGCCCTGGCCAAAGGAAAGATCTCTTTATAGGACATCAACATCAGGAACAAGTTATTAGGAAACTTAGGAATGTTGAAAAACAAAAGGGTCAAGAATATATTCATGGAGACTCATCACTTAAGAACTCTTTCCAGAATACCAGCTTTGATTCCAGCACCTACGCTATATAGTACATAGCTGTGAACAAGCTACTGTGGGTGCTGGAAGTCAATTCTGGGTCCTCTAGAAGAGCAGCAAGTAATCTAATCACTGTGTGATCTCTGCAGCCTCTAACCTACTGAGTTTAGTTAAGTTGCTCATATGAACTAGTGGGAGAGACTCTCCCTTTCTGTCTTTTAAACTTTGTTTTGTTTTAAGACAAGATCTCATGTAGCCTGGGTTGATCTTAAATTCTGGGTATAGCTATAAATGACCTTGAAATCATGATTCTTCTGCTATCCCCCAACTGCTGGTATTAAAACCATGGATTACTATACTAAAATGAAAAATGCTCTTTTTGTTGCTTGTTTATTTTGAGGAGATACTGGGGATGAAAGCCAGGTCATGGGCTAGAGAGTTGGCTCAGCGGTTAAAGAGCACCAACTGTTCTTCCAGAGGTCCTGAGTTCAATTCCCGGCAACCACATGGTGGCTCACAACCATCTGTAATGGGATCTGATGCCTTCTTCTGGTGTGTCTGAAGAGAGCAATGATGTACTCATATACATATATAATAAATGAATAAATAAATCTTTTTTAAAAAAAGCCAGGTCATTGACTATGCTACCCAAGCATTCTACTACTGAACTATGATTTTTATTTTATGTGTATAAGTGTTTGGCCTGCTTGTATGTCTGTGCACCATGTAAGTGCCTGGGGTACCTGTTGAGGCCTCTGGAATGAAATTGCAGACAGTTATGCATTATAGTGGGTGCTAGGAATCAAAGCTGGTGCTGTAGAAGAGCAGCTAGTTTTCTTTAAAACACTCTGCCTAGCCCAATCCCAGGCTTCTTGGAAGCTGATGGGAGCAGATGTGGAGACCCACATCCAAGGTGGAGCTCAGGGAACCCTGAGGAACAGAGGAAGAATTATAGGAGGAAGAGAGGAAGAATTGTAGGGGTCAGAAGGGTTGAGGACAACAGGAAAATTCAGCCCACAAAATCAACTAAGCAGGCTCCTAGAGGCTCACAGAGACTAAAGTGGCAATCACAGAGCCTACATGGGTCTGTACTAGATCCTCTGCCTGTATGCTGTAGTGTTTAGCTCAGGGTTTTTATAGGACTGCTATTGGAGTGGGGGTGTCTGACTCTTTTTGCCTGTTCTTAGGAGGCTTGTAAGGTTACCTCCTCCTGGGTTACCTCATCCAGCCTTGATATGAGAGGTTGTGTCTAGTCTCGTTGCATCTTGTTATGCTGTACATCTTGTTATTACCATGTTCAGTTGATAACACTGAGATACCTGCTCCTTTCTGAAGGGAAACAGAGAAACAGTGGATCTGAGGGAAGATGGGAATTGGGTGGGGGAAGACTGGGAAAAGTAGAGGGAGGAGAGGTTCCAGTCAGGATGTATTGTGTAAGAAAAGAATAAATAGCCGGGCAGTGGTGGCGCACACCTTTAATCCCAGCACTTGGGAGGCAGAGACAGGCGGATTTCTGAGTTCGAGGCCAGCCTGGTCTACAGAGTGAGTTCCAGGACAGCCAGGGCTATACAGAGAAACCCTGTCTCGAAAATCAATCAATCAATCAATCAATCAATCAATCTTTAAAAGGAAAAGAAAAAAGTCACCTTGCGGGGGGTGGTGGCTCATGCCTTTAATCCCAGCATCTGGAGAAACAGAGGCAGAAACAGGTGGATTTCTGAGTTGAAGGCCAACCTGGTCTACAAGTTAAGTCTACAATAGTCATAGCTACACAGAGAAATCCTGTGGTGGTGGTGGTGGTGGTGGTGGTGGTGGTGGTGGTGGTGGTGGTGTAAGTCATTTCTCCAGCTCCCTCAGGTACATTCTTGACCCTTTTATTTTCCAATATCCCTATAGTTTTCCAAAAACTTGTTCACGATGTTGATGTCCTAGAGAATGTTCTGGCTAGGGCATAGGCATCTCTTTGGAGGAAGCCTTTGTTGTTAATATTTGTTTTCTTTTTTTCAAGAGTACAGAGTACAAGAAACTGGTGGTCACACTAAGTTAACTAAGACTACTCATGCATTTACTAATTTTTGTGTCTGTTTCCAACTCTAGGGCATGATGACCATGTTAGTTTCCCTCAAAGAAGAAAGAAAGGCCGGAGGCCTTTCCGATGGAAGTGTGGTGAGGGGAATGGTAGGTCTGGAAGAGGTGGTTCTGGTATACAGTCTTCCCAGTTTCAGGAAGATGATGGAGATGTGGCAAAGAATAATCCCCAGGATGGCCCCGGAGTCAGATAGTAAGTGACTAATTGGTCAGCTTTGAATAGTGACCCACTGAATTATGTAGCCCTGTTACTTATTGTCTTTGTCATGTCTCATCTCACCTTGTAAAGTGACACACTTGACAGAACCAATTTAGTAGCTGTAATTTCACTAGCAGGACAGGTTCATCTTCCCTAGTGTTTATGGAAATTTAATTCTGTTTCCCAACAGCAACCCCTATACCAATGGGCCTAACCGTCAGAGAGATACTTGGCATGATCGAGATCAAATTCATATTACTGTACAGAAAGAGAGAGCTCCTCCAGAAAGAGGAGGTGCTGGCACCAGTCAAGATGGGACCACCAAGAAGTGGTTCAAGATTACAGTGAGTACTTGGAAGAGTAGGTGATTCAGGAAACAGGACTGGACTCAGTGAAAGTGTTTTGACACCTGTCTCTAACCCTTCAAATCCATTTTCTCTAATATTTACTAAACAGTGAAGTATCATACTAATCCATTATCAAGATAATTCATTCTTTCTTCGAATGAGTGTCTTAGAACAGAGTTAAGGAACGGAGTTAAGGAGGATAGGCAAGATAACACGTGGAAGGGGAATCCGATAAGTATGGTCAGGATGTAGAGTAACACTTAAGCTCAGAGTGACTCTAGGAGACTATGGAGTCTCTAGGGGACAAGTAAGGCACATATAATATCTTGGGACTTTTAGAATTAATACATCTGATATGTGGCCATGTTGTCTGAGCCATCTTTCCAGGAGTAATAAGTGTATAGAAAGGAATTTAAGGAGTCTTTGTATATCAAGTGGAAACTATACATCTGTTCCTTTTTTTTTAGGAGAAAAAAACAGCTATTTTAGGATAGAAGGGCTCATCCAGCCTCATGCATGTAAGCGTGCTTCCTATCTCTGAAACCTCATGGCTGCTAAGTGCCTTCTATCACACAGCCTCATCCATGCCATGTTAAGCATGCTTTCTGATGAAGCACTAGAAATATTTTCAATCTTGGCAGAAAATACAAAAGGAGAACTGAAATATGCTGCCTTGGTTACATGTGTACCCTTCTCTCTCACTTCCAGATTCCTTATGGCAGAAAGTATGACAAAATGTGGCTTCTGAGCATGATTCAGAGCAAGTGCAGTGTCCCCTTCAACCCCATTGAGGTAAGGCAAAGTCAGACTTGAAAGCCTATGGTAGGGCCTATATAGACTTCAAATCTAATGTTCTTTGTTTTTCTTCCAGTTTCAATATAAAAGTACACAGGCCCATTTTTTTGTGGAAGATGCCAGTACTGCTTCTGCATTAAAGGCTGTTAACCATAAGATTCAGGATCAAGAAAACAGAAGGGTATGTGAACAAAGGGCCTGGCATGACACAGTTGGCGCTAATACACTAAAAGGAACCAAGTCTTAGTGCTGGTGATTAGGCTTCCCTCAAGTATACTCTTGCCTTTCCATCTTCTCTTCAGATAACTATCCTCATCAACTCTTCTGCTCCACCCTGCATTGTACAGAATGAACTGAAGCCTGAACAAGTAGAGCAGCTCAGGGTAAGACTGGCTCAAGTGACATGGTCCAGCAGATTTTAAATCTTCATCAGTGACCACTAAACCCTTTGTCTTCCTTCCTCTAGCTGATCATGAACAAACGATACGATGGCTCCCAGCAAGCACTTGACCTCAAGGGCCTCCGCTCAGACCCAGGTATGGCTGACAGCAATGGTCCTGACTAAATGGAGAGGAGGAGCAATTGGTCTTTATAACACTGGTATGGGCAAGCCCTCTCAGACTTCCTTTTGTTTCTGCTTGCTAAAGATTTGGTGGCTCAGAACATCGATGTTGTTCTAAACCGCAGAAGCTGTATGGCAGCTGCCCTGAGGTTCATTGAAGAGAACATTCCTGAGGTGAAGCTTCTTTTTTTTTTGCACTAGAAAGCAGAGTAAGATGGGTAGGATAGGATCAGGGACAGATTTGCCTCATGGTAACACATCTAAACTTTGTTCTGTTCACAGCTATTGTCTTTGAACTTGAGCAACAACAGGCTATTCAAGCTGGATGATATGTCCAGCATTGTACAGAAGGCACCAAACCTAAAGACCCTAAATCTCTCTGGAAATGAAGTAAGACTGATACCTAGTGGTGCTTTTGTTCTTAATAGTTACCGAGTATGAATGGGTGGAGGTCAGACCATATTGGAAGTTGGTTCTTTCCTTCCACTGTGGGTTCCTGGGCTGGAACTTGGGTTGCGTTGCTTTCAAGACAAGAGCTTCTGCCCACTGAGCCATCACACTGATTCCCGGCTGTATTTCTATGGTAGTTTAGGGCAAGAGTTTTGCTGGCCATGGTAGGAAGCAAGAAAGAAAACTCAGGTAGTATTTGAAAGTGTGGGGATCCAGCTGGTCTGTTTTCTCCCTTTTACCCTCCCGTCATCTCCTTCACAGTTGAAGTCTGAGTGGCAATTAGACAAGATAAAAGGGCTGAAGCTGGAAGAGCTGTGGCTTGACAGAAACCCCATGTGTGACACCTTCAGAGACCAGTCCACCTATATCAGGTCAGTTGTAGCCTCTGTCTCCCCTCCTGGGGACATTTACCCCCTGGGAGGCTGAGCTAATGCACCCTGACCAGTGCCCGTCTACAGGAGAACATGCAGCCCTGAGCTGGAACCACCTGTCCTTTGGGAGGAGGATCAAGTACTCCTTTATGCCTGTCTATGTCTCCTAGCTTTGTCCCAGATCTCCTCTCCTTTCTTCTTACCTTACTACTGTTCTCTGGTTCTCTGGCCTTTCTCCTTCCTTCTTGAGCACAGCCTTTTCTAGAACCTACCTACCTGTTTTCCAGGAAGGGCACCTCCTTTTTCTGTTATGATGTGGAGGTGTCTTATATATGTCCTACCTGTGTGTTTATCTTTGGACAAAAGCCTGGTGTACTCAGGCTGAGAAAAGCCCTCTCTTACTGAGACTACCTACTGAGATGGGTCTGCCTTCCTTTGTTCTTTGATGGTCCCTCTTTCCATTGTATCAAGAGGGACTCTCTTTTCATGATCTACTTAGCCAAGGTTGTGGCCTGGTCCTTCCTGTCCATGCTGAGGTTGATGTCTCTTGGAGGCTGGTACCATGCTAGTGGTCTCTCTTGCCCAGTGCTGTGAACTGGGCCCTTCCTGAAGAAGAAACCTGGGTTCCCTAAGATGAGACCAAAGCCGGGGCCCCACCAGCAGGCAAAAGGATCCCAAGGCAAATGCTGGGCGTGGAGGCCACAGGGGCATCTGCTACCAAGGAGACAGAGAAATGACCCTGTCAGGGGCATGGCCCCTTTCTCACTCGCACACCTCACATCGCCCTGCTTGGCCCCCGGAGGATGGCTGGTTAGCCAGAGACGGGTAAGATTCCTCAGGGAAGGAACAACCTAAGACAGGCACAGTCACAGAGGGGGCCATCAGGAAAAAACTTGGGGGCCAACTGAGGTGGGGCACAGACCCTCACCCCCCCAACTCGGCAGAGGCCTAAACCCTCATGTCTTCTGAGAGAGGTCACCTGGCCCCATGGCTGCTTTATACTTCCCACGCCCACCTCAGACCGGGACCCAGGGAGCAGAGACCTGGTCAACAGCAACTGCAAACCATTCATTATGGGATATATTCTCCATGTCTACCTTGGGACCACAGGAAAGAGGCAGCTGAAGGAAAGGGCTGTATCAAGAGGTCTTTCTTTCTCCCATTCTTTTCTGAATACCTCTGCCTTCAGATCTGTCCCTGTTGCTTTGCTTCCTCTTTGTCTCTCCATCTCTCTTTTGTCCTTGCCCTACCTTTCTCCATTTCTCTTCTCCTTTCCCTTGGTCTCTTTTCTTTCTTCCTTTCTTCTTGAGCCCTGTCTTGTTCATCTCCTTGCCCCAACATCCTGTGCCATACTTGTGGTGTATTCTGGTCTTGGCGAAGGCCAGACCTGGCAGAACTGGTGGATACCTGGTGAGGCAGCGGAGCCCCTGGGCTCCCACCCCATTCCCTCCTCCCAGGGCTGTGCAGGTGAGTAGGTGGAAGGTAAGGGGGGCAAGGTGGGGAAGGCAGCCCTAGGCTTAAAGCTTGGGCTGAAAGTGTCCTCCTGTGGCACTCGGGATTAGGCAGCAAGATGACAGAGCCAGCCTTCAAGGCAATTCAGAAGGGGTGCCCCTGGTGAGGAGGGGAATGGGGGTTCTTGTCCCCAAGTTTAAGCTGGGGAGGAGTGGGCAATGAACAGGATGGAATGGGCTGTTCCTCGGGTTTTTGGTGTATTTGCTCCTAGAGCAGCCCAGGAGGCATGATGGCTCTGAAGCATCACTCAATTCTGTCCCGTTCTTGACAGCGCCATTCGCAAACGATTTCCCAAGTTATTACGCCTGGTAAGTCTTAACACTTGGTTCTCAATAACAAGGACAACCAAGGCCTTGCCTCTATTTTGTGACCACCAGTGGGGGTGTGTACAGTGGTAATCATCATCCTAGAAATACCTGTGGACCAAGTTTATATAGGATCCCTGCACACTCCATGCCTTTTAGCTTTTCTGTATACTCACAGATCCAGTCTTGCTTCTGTTTTTCATGTGACGTTCCCTTTTTTTCCCCACAGGATGGCTATGAGCTACCCCCTCCAATTGCCTTTGATATCGAAGTCCCTACAATGTTACCACCCTGCAAGGTCAGAATTGGGGTTAGAATTAGAACTGTGAGTGGGAAGCATACTGGTCCTGTGATCTTAATGTCTTGTTTGATTTCAGGGAAGCTGTTTTGGAACAGAGAACCTAAAGAGTCTAGTCCTGCACTTCTTGCAGCAGTGAGTATCCCAGGAGCCCTTAGTGCTGGGGATAATGACTGGCCAGTGCATTCTTACTGCTGTGTCCTTTTGGTTCCAGACACAGAATTCAGACTCTTCTTTAACTTTCCTTACAGGTACTATGCAATTTATGACTCAGGAGACCGCCAGGGTCTCCTGGATGCCTACCATGATAGCGCCTGTTGTTCACTAAGCATTCCTTCCAACCGTCAGAACCCTGCTGTCCGGTAAGTGTCACATGTCAGAACCTATCCAGAACCATGGGATTCTTTGGGAGATACAGGCCACTCTTCTGACCACCACCATCATTCCCTCTTATTTTCCAGAAACAACTTAGGTGAATACTTCAAAGACAACAGAAATGTGAAGAAGCTTAAAGATCCCAGTAAGTATGTTGTGTGAGCAGTCAAAATGGGAAACAATCAGTAGCCAGTGTGGATGTGCCCTAACCTTGGTTTCTCTTCCTTCTGCTTGCAGCCCTGCGGTTCCGGCTATTAAAGCATACACGTCCTGATGTTGTTGCCTTCCTCAATGAGTTACCCAAAACTCAACATGACATTAACTCGTTTGTGGTAGATATAAGTGCCCAAACAGTAAGTACATATTTTCTCCTAACAGAAGCCCAGAAATGGGGTGGATAATGGGTTCAGCATTCACTGAGTGAGGAGGCTCAAGCTCTGGTTGGGAACCTACATTGCTTCTGGTGCTTTTTCTCTTTCAGAGCACATTGCTGTGTTTTTCTGTCAATGGAGTCTTCAAGGAAGGTAAGAATTTTTAGTTCTGAACTTTTCTCGGTATCTTTAGTTTCCCTTTTCTTCTCTGACCTCCTTCCTATTTTGCCCAGTCCATCTTGGTTTGGCCTTAAAACTCTTCTACCTGTCTTATCTGCAGTATGACAAAAGCCTGGGGACTAGAACAGTGTAGGTTGTAAGAGTCAAGCAGAGGTCTCCATTTCTATCCCTGTGTTAATTCTGTGAGTCCGAGAAAGTTGCAGTACCTTTGACTCTTGCTGCCTTCTTTCTGTTTTGTTAAATGATTTCATAATACTCTTGCACAGTGGTACTTCAGGAAGTAAGATGACTTAAGGCACTTTGCCAGGCCGTAGACTAACACTTTCTAAGTTGTTTCACCTCCTATAGCACACAGCAATTTCTGTTTCTATCCTTCCTGATCTGTCCCTTTATCCCACCTTTGTTCCCTTATGACCAAATAACTATCCTCACCTGGCCAAATGAGGGTTCTTTGTATCAAATACCATAATGTGAGTGATAATTGTCCAGACGGAGCTGGAGCGATTGTCAGGAGCACTTGCTGCTCATTCTCATTGCAGTGGATGGGAAGTGTCGAGATGCTTTACGTGCTTTCACAAGAACATTCGTTGCTGTTCTTCCCAGCAATTCAGGGTAAGTACTCAGCTTAACAGTTTGGGCATTATCTTCAGTGCCAGGATAGAAGTATGATAGTTGGAAGGTAGAGATACTCCTCAGGTAGTTTTCAGACTTGCAGAAAAGCAGTAGAAGTTTAGGAGGTGAATAATAACTATCAGTATGTTAGGAAGTGAATATATAATTCTAGTGTGTTTGGAAGATAATCTTCCTAAATACCTAGTCTATAATTGAGAATAAATGATAAAAGGTAACATGGGAGGGGCATGTGGATATTAACCAGATCTGAGAACAGAGACAATGTAGAAAGATGAGGTTATTTGTCTATTTATTTAAGATGTCTTTTGTCCCCAAGGCTATGCATTGTAAATGATGAATTATTTGTGCGGAATGCCAGCCCTGAAGAAATCCAAAGAGCCTTCGCCATGCCTGCATCCACTCCTTCTTCAGCCCAGTACCCACACTATCCCCAGAACAGCAGGAAATGTTGCAAACATTTTCTACCCAGTCTGGCATGAACCTCGAGTGGTCTCAGAAGTGAGTGCTGAGCATGGATAGGACCAAGGGGAAACAGATGGCCTGACAGTGAATTACAGTGCTTTAATAGAAAGATTCCTACTAAGAATTCTGCATAGATTATTTTTTAAAATTTAAAGCGCGAATGAAGAATTAGTTTTCTGTCCCCCTCTTCCCCAAGCAAAATTACAGATTAAACCTAGACTCCACATATGCTACACAGTCAGTCTACCACTGAACCCTTTTCAGGTGGTTATTTTGAAATGTGGTCTCACTATGTGCTTGTCTGGCCTTGAACTTACAGAGCTCTGCCTACCTCTTCCTCCAAAGTGCTGTGATTAAAGGCATGAGCCATTAGACCTAGCCACCAAGTTTTGTTTGTTTGTTTATTTGGTTTGGATATTTAGAGTTTTTGTTTTGTCATTCATCTTGAGACAGGGTCTCACTAAGTTGTCAAAACTGGGCTTGAGTTCTTAACCAAGTCCTAGATTGAGTGAGCCTCAGCACCCAAGGGAGGTGGGACTGTAGGTGCACACCTAGTTCCACAGTCTTTATATGTGGTTCTGCAACTTTTGTTTTGAGACAGGGTCTCACTTTGTGCCTTGGCTGCTTGGAAGTCACAGTGTAGCCCAAGTTTGCCTCAGGCTCAGAGATATGCCCACCTGATTAAAGGAGTGCGCCACTACTGCCCGGCCCGACATGGATTTGTAATAAGCATTTCTGATGTGTGTGTGTGTGTGTGTGTGTGTGTGTTTGTGTTTGTGTAATGTGTTATGGGTTTTTAAGCAGCTGTCTTCACAGAGGAATAACTAGCAGGTGAGCTTTCTGAGATGGTATACTTCGGATTATAATATAATCTGAGACAGGTTTGTTCTCACAGCCAGTCCAGGAAATTTCATTTTAGGAAAGATTCCTGCTATTAATATGATGTTCCTGTTCTTATTAAACATATAACATTCATTAGGTATTAGCCCACCCCTTATGAGCAGATCTCTACAGATCTACAGAGATGTACTATCTTTTAGTAATGCTATACAGACAAATATATGACATCT